AGTAGCTTCAGAATTCGCATTCAGTACTAGCAGGTATATTTTAAACCCGCATCGCAGTCGACTTTATTGGACAACTTTAGAGGCTTTAAGGTGTGTTAGAAGCTGGTTATGGAGTATTGAAAATAGTGGTAAGCTTTTAAAATATTTTGTCAATTTTTATAGGTTAATTATAAAAACCAATATACTGCCTCTTTATTAAATATGATACGTACCGTTGCCACTGTTCAAAGGCCATAAAACTTGCCTTTACAACTTGCTTAACATTACATAGAAACCTTTTAATATTATAGGATATCTATATTTTCTATGGTGTTTATTATTATTATTCATGTATCAACACAACAGTAAAATAAATATAGGTTAATTATAAAAATAAGTATGTTAGGAGTATTTGTAAAATGATATATAATTTTGTATTTGTTAATTGATTACTATTTATATTGTATTGTGTTTTATATTTTTAGGTGGTATGGGTTCTAAGTTAAGCAATGACTACACTACTTTACTCAATGAAACAGAGGCCAATGAAGAAGGTAAAATTTTCCTTTGAGTAACTAAGTTTTGACTTGTATTCTTATTTATTGTTAATGTTTGTATTTTAATTTGTATTTTTTTATATAAGTGAAATATTAACTAGTGGTATTATTTCCCTCTTTGAAGATGGAGAATATCATTTAGAGAAAAAAAGAAGACAATATTGGTGTTGGTCACTTATCTATTTTTGTTAGCAATTTCCATAGAAAATGATGTTCAATATTTTTAGTTTTTATATTTTGGATTATTTGGTTTGGTAATTTGAAATATTAATTGTATGGTTGATAAATTAATACTTTTGTTAGTATTTTATTATTCGAAATATGTTTAAAATTCTTCGAGATTGTATTTTATATTTGTAATGTAAGTTAATATATGTTAAGAATGTGGCAGGTTTTAGGTTCAGGGTGAATTTTGAGTTTGGGAAACTTTTGTGTTTGGGGGCGGGGCGGGATCTTCAAACCCATTTGAGGCGGATTTGAGATTCAATTATTTATCTCCGACGAAAATTAGAGCGGGTAACAGAAATTTATCTTGAATTCAAATTTGGGTTTGTGAAATACAAAAACCATCCCCGCCCCGTCCATTGCCATGTCTATTAAGAAATATTATTTCCTACTAAATTTTATGTGTTTGCTTTTTAGATGATCACTTTCATGATCATTGTTATCTCCATATATTGTTATTGTGTTAAGAGGATGATATTGATAATTACTACTATTTGTCATGTTATGGTAGAAAACTTTTAGATTTTTTGTTTTGATTTATACCTAAGTCTTCTATACAAGTGTACTTTAATGTTCTTCAAAAGTTTCAAAGCTGTTTTGATTTTTTAGAATAAATTTGCATATAGTTGATAATAAATATTTAGTTGATACAATTATTTTTATAAATATGTATAAATTACAAATATTTTTATAAATGAGAAAAAATATATTGTTAATACAATTATTTTTATAACCGAGAATAAATTAAAATATTTTTTTATAAACGGAAAAAAAAATCTATTTTTGATATAATTATATTTATAAACAGGATTAAGTTACTAATATATTTATAAATGGAAAAAAGTCTAATGTTGATGCAATTATTTTAAAAAACAAGAATAAGTTACAAATATTTTTACAAACGTGAAAAAATTTACTATTGATACAATTATATTTATAAAATGGTATAAGTTACAAATATTTTTATAAATGGAAAAAGTATATTGTTCATATAATTATTTGTATAAATGAGAATAAATTACTAATATATTTATAAACGGGAAACAATTTATTGTTGTTACCATTATATTTTTTGAGATGTTGACATGTTGCCTTTTGAAATTTATAATAACTACGTACTATTAAACATTTTATTCATGTTAAGTTTGTTTTTAAATGTACTGCTTGGATAAAGGAATCACAGTTGGTGGATTATATTAGCTTATGTTTGTAATTCTCTAACTGTTAACGATCCGAAAAAAGGAATTCAAAGTTGACAAATGATTCTAATTTTGTTACTATGTGAATGTTAACCAACTGAATAAATAAATTCAAATTTGACAAATGAGAGTGAGAAACGTGTAATGTGAAACATGCCATTTAATTTTAATTCATGAATTGATTCAATCAAATGTGTGAATCCGATCATACAAATAGAATTGACACATGACAAGAAATTTCAAGTCATGAATCGAATCATATACTAGTGTGAATTGGATCACACAAACAAAGATCAACAAAGGTGTGTCTATGTTAGATTACCAAAATAAAATACAATTTCAAAGGTTTCAACTCCCAATCATAAACCACCTGTCGTTTTGGCTTCGACCCCGATTCTGTTTCTGATTTAAAACTCGATTCTGATTTTGATTTTAGAGGCTTCTCTCTTTCTTCCATCGACATTCTATAACACAGAAGGAAGAACTATGTGATTTGAGTTTACAATATTATGAATGCCATGAGAAAGTTTCAGAGGAGTATAATGAATTTTGCAAAAGTCAATGGATAAAAATGCATGTTATCGCTGAGTTGGTATTGCATTTTTGGGGAAGAGCTGAGGTTAAAACAACTTACTTAGTTGGTAGAGAATTTCTTCAGAGTGAGAATACTGAAAACCAAGGTAGAAATATGTCAGAAACTATAACGGAGAAAACTCAGTTTGAGGTGGAGTTTTCTACTATGGATGCTAGCAATAGTGAGAAAACAGTTACAGAGATCTCCGATTATCATTTGACTCATGATAAGGTAAGAAGGGTTATTGTAGCATCTCAAAGGGACGATTATGCTAGCCTTGGATATTATATTTTAAATGTGGATGAAGGACTGCAAAATACAAAAAGAAGAACCTTCAGGGAGGCATTTGAAAACATGTGGAGTCAAGGGTGGTTGAAAAATAAATATACTTGTGGGCTTATTAAATTACCTAGAAAGGGGTACTTGAAAACAAGTGGATGCAAGTGGCGAAATCAAGATTCAAGGGTTATTTGAATTTGATCAAAGTTATTGATTATAGTTTCAATATGGTAGAGAACAACAATGTTGTTGATGATTAAATTTGGATCAATACGGTTTCAAATCAATGTGGAGATTGTTGTAGTGTGGCTTAAAACATTTATTGATTAAGAGAAGAAAAAAATTTGGAGATTGCATTTACCGCGAAAATCAGAAATTTCAAAAAGTCAGTCAAAAAAACAGAAATCAGGTAAAATTGCAGAGTCGTACGGACGATGAATAGTAAAATCGTACGAACGGTGAATAGTGAATCGTACGGGTGGTGAATAGTAAACTATACGACCGATGAATAGTGACATCGATTTCGGGTTTTTCGTACTTTTTCGGCAATTTCTCATTTTGCGTGTTTCGAATTCTTTTGGTTCGGTCTATGAATCCGTGTGTGATTTAGTTTGTGATTTTGGGCTTTAGTTGTTGGATATTTGTTATTATAAATATGGATCTCTTGTATATTTGCAGGTGTGACAATCTTAAAACTTACAGCAATAACGGAGAGCAAGGATTTAAAGGTACAACATAGGATTGTCTATTCTCAAGAGAAACTTAAAAAGACAAGGATTTTGAGAAACTTTTAGAATTCATTTGTAATCTCTTGTAACAACTTTCACTCATCTGCAATCTCTTGTAACAACTTTCTATATACAAATCTTTGTCTTTTTTTAACTTTGTATTTATACGGATTATTATTACTGTTGACCATTTATTTTGGTTGCTACTATTTTTTACTACATAAATTAATATTGAATTTTATCATAATTCACAACAAGATTCACAACCGTTAAATTGGACCATGTTTCTCTATAGCATGCTTTTAAATAGGCCCAGAGTGTGAATATTTATTAAAAAAATCATTGATTTGATCAAATGTTATTCATATTAATCCTTCAACTAAATTAACCGTAAGTGGTTAAATAGACCCTGTACACGAAGAGCTCTTCTATATTCCTTGATGATATCCGTTTACGAGCCAAACATTTTTTCTGTAGTGCAGTTATATGATATCACCTTTCAAGAAAAGAATTACATACATATCACAGTGAAATATCACAGATTTCGAAACTTCTGTGCTTTCATGATCAAACATTGTTGTAAAGCTAGCTTTCTGTGTGCCACATCATAAGAATCAGAACAGGTGATGAAATTCTCAAGTAAAAAAAATTTATTGATAGCTATTTTCAGTTAACGTAGTTGGTTAGTTAGTTAGAGGCCGTTATAAATTATAATCAGTTAGTTATATTTTCTTGTTAAAAATTCACATTCTAAATTTTCTTGATATTAATTACAAATTGCAGAAAATCAACCAAAAATGGAGGATGATAAGGAGACAGCAAAGATTATCAGTTCCACTACTGATAATTCGAACGAGGGCCGTGGTGATGATGATGTAGCAATGAATGAGGGCAGTGGTGGTGATGATGATGTAACAATGAAGGAGGGTGATACTAGTAGTGATTCTTCTTTGTCAGAACAATTAAAGAAGAGAAAATTAGAGGGACCTGAAACCACTCTTGAATCTCCTTCCAAGAAAGCAAAACTGAATGCTGGGCAGGTGCATAAATTAAATATATATGATTGTGTGTTTCTATAGAACGGGGAGTTAATTAAATATATGATTGCAGGATGTGGTGAACACTACATACCAACTATCTAAGCCATCTGTTTGCATAACTTCTGTGAGCGGTTCTGTATCCAAGCTTGATCTTCGTACTCCAAATGTTCATTTCAAGCGTGAGGTACTTACATCGATTAAAGCTCTAAATCTGAATGCTTGTGCCTTATATGGTTAAATATCAACAATGGACGAACCAATATATGCATTAGAATTCATAACTGTTTTGAGATTCCTATTCATATAAATTTATTTTGATGGAAGCACACAAGACTTATGACAGATATTTACAGAATATCCGCAGGAATGACACCAACAATAATCAGTAATTTTGATAAGGCTTTGGGATGATGTGCTACTCAGGACAAGCCGATTCTCATTGCAGCAACTATGCACTCCTCAGCTTTGTCAGTCCAGTATGTGTTACTACCATCACTATAGCTGATGTCGCCTGATTCACCCCTATCACTATCGCTGCTGAAATTTTGTGTTGAATATTCATAATGGTTAATAAGCCTTTTGATCAACAATATTCAGTAATTTCTTCTCAAAATTGTTCATGTTTAATCCTTCTTTGAACATTTCATCTGTTGGTTTTTTGGCTATTAACATCTCTAGTAGTAGGACCCCAATATTAGATAAGTTATGCAAAAATAGAAGGTAAAAGAAAGCACAAATCAAAGGGAAAAATACAAGTTTTTTGAGAGAGAAACCTTGCCAATCCAAAATTTGCTACATGTGCAACCATATCTTCATCTAGCAGGACATTGGCAGGTTTAAGATCACAACGGACTATTGGTGGATCACAGCATGGTGCAAGTAGTCCATGGCAGATGCCACATGAATAACAAGAAGTGATCACCTCAACAAGATTCCCATGCCTAATGTTTTTCAAAGCTTCGCATTCTGCATCAACAACTTTAACAGCAAGTATGGTGGTTTGACTTTCGTAAGTGCTGGTGTTGAACACACCCTTGTAAACAGAATCAAAGCCTCCTTTTCCTACCAAGTTTGTAGCAGAAAAATTGTCTGTAGCAAGCCTAATATCACCATAGGATATATCTTGAGGAAAACCCTTAAGAAGAGTTGATGACAAACTACTTTTCTCCTCCTCATGTTTCTTTAAGAATATTAGCAGCCACAACAGATAGAGCATTGAAGCGAACAAAACAATCACACCTATAATCCCTAGTATGATAGGGAGTAAAATGTTTCTCTTGTTTTTTTTACCTGCAACACACAAAGTGAATCCCGACTTGTACATAACTTGATTGTTACGGCCACATAATATGTTGTTACCTTGGAGATCAACCTGGCTTAGGTTCATAAAACCACCTTTCATAGGAACCCCTCCTTCCAATTTGTTGAAAGATAAATTTAACCTCACCATATACTCAAGCTTTTCTATACTCTCAGGAATTGGGCCAGTGAGATTGATTGATGATAAATCTAAGGTCACAAGGGATGCTAAATCTCCTAGACTATTTGGAATTGAGCCACTAAATTTATTTCTTGCCATCTTAAGTGTCTTCAACCCGTGTACTTCGATTTTGAAACTTGTTGATTCCTTTAGGAATGCTTCCATTTAGCTGATTATTAGAAACACATAACTGTTGTAGATTGCCTGAAAGATAGGGAACAGAACTTGGAAGTTCACCGGTCAAGTTGTTATCCTTGAAAGAAAATTGCAATCCGAAATGCAATGGAAAATTAAAATTTTCCTTTAGTGATCCTTACGAATGGGCATAGTTAGTGATAGAAATCATTACCTTTTGTGATGATTCAGACCTTTGATGTTGTGTTCACGAACGTTAATAAATAACAATGTCTTTACTTAGTCCACACGAACAGATCGCTTTCGGTCACAATACTAGCTGCTTACGAACGGAAACTTTGAGTGAGAGAGTGAGACAAAATACGGCTAGGGTTTCAAGACCGAAATTTCATCAAGTGAAATGGTTCAGCACAAGGGTTCTATTTATAGAACCACTTATGTGAGCTGCAAGCTAAAAGCCCAATTAAAGCTGCAAGCTAAAAGTCCAATTAAACCTACGGGTATCATACCTTATGATATATCCCATATCACTTAAGCGCGTGGTACCTTACCATATTCCGTATTTCACTTAAGTGTATCGTACCTTACGGTGTTCTACAATTCACTTAAGTACACCGTATCTTAAGGTGTACATTATTTACTCTATCTCTCATCAACCTATCCTTATGTGTGTGATTCTATAGACTTTCGTGACATTGACAATTATATTAAAATCACAGATTTAACATAATAAACAGTGAGTGGTATTTGGAAACACATCACTGCTACCCAAGTCACGAAAATGTCATGTGATCTGACAAAACCTTTCCGTGATAATATTTGTATGTACAATTACCCTTTTGCGCTTATGTCTATATTGAACACAAGACGTAGACCGTGTTACCCTTGTCCAGTTCAATATTGAGCCCTTAGACATTTATCCTGTTATATAGGATGAGAAATTTCCATGTAGGTCACTCATGTCCCTCAGCATGCTTTGTGAAGTATCCATCAACTGTCTTTATAATCATCCAATTATGGATAACGTTTGATTAGCAATAAACTACTTAACTTTACATCTAGGGTCCATAGTAGTTTCAGGTCGAAGAGTGGTATACACCATTATCATTGTGATACTGTGGCAGAACCGACTATTAATATACTGGTTTTGTGTTTTGTATTCGCAAATGTGCGGTAAGAAAGAGTCGCCCCCGTCTTTTCTTTTATCCAACAAAGAGAAGGGTGTAAAGAACAGAAAAATACCTTTTTGAGATGTTTTATGAGTAAGGGGGTAGATTATGGAAAGGGAAGGTGTTAGCACCTTTTTCATCCGTGGTTTTCAACGGGCTCTTAGAGGTTTTCTCATTTTAAAAATACCTTTGTGCTTTGTGTCTGAAAATGTTTTGAAAACGCCTTAGTACGGTGAACTTTGTAATATTTCTCGGGATAGTGGAGAAAGTATACAAAGTGTTTTGAAATTTTTTTTGAAAAGTAGTTTTCTGTGTAAGTGCAAAATGTTTGAGCAAACTTCGAACAACTATCTACTTTGTTACTCGAAAAGGGTCGTTCTTTTCCTCTTTTCCTTTAGACAATGTTATCCTACTATTAGTGAGTAGGTAGCCTTATCGTTGGATGTTGAGGGACAATCGAAGGAACGTTTTACAGTCACGAAGGAAACTTGTGGAGACGCTTTAGCAATTTTCTTTTAGGGACTAAATCATTTACCGAAAGGCAATTGTAGGATCATCGAGGGACTATGATCTTTTTTGATTTATGGGTCTTTGCTAAAGCGTTCCTGCCTCATGACTGTTTTATTTCTTAAAGGAAACTAAAGTGGGATACCCTAGAGGTGCTTGTATGAAATTGTATTCAATTCATTTATTTATCTTTTTGTTAAGTTTGCTAACGTTTAATTATTAGTCTTTGCCATACAATCCTATTAATCATACATCTAGCAGTTAATATGAAAGCAGTAAAAATGCAGAAGGTAAGTGTCCTACGCTATTACAATCAAATCGAAAGATAAGAAAAATGTAAAAAAAAACAACAAAGAACAAAATAAATGAGAGAAAATGAATTCTTCGATCCAGGCCAACGAATTCCTTCGACTCACCCTCCTCTGGCCTTCTTTCGATTGGGCTTGAGAATTGACATGAGCAAGCTTCGATTTGCACCTTTACTTCCTCTTTTGACTGAGTTTGGGAATGGCATGGGCAGCCTTCGATTGCAGCCTTCTCTACTTCTTTCGACTGAGCCAGGGAGTGGACATGAGTGACCTTCGACTGCAAACTCCTATGCTTCTTTTGATTTAGAATATGAAGTAAAATGGACCTACGGAGAAGCATGTATGCATATCATTCGTTCACAGTCCTTTTGTCTTTCGTTTGAGGCTGTACAAGTTAGTTCCAATAAGAAAAAAAATAAGTCTAGAGGTCAGAAACGAAGAACACAATTAAGGGGTTATCTATATATTATGTTGAAACGAAAAGTAAGTACATGGCTATTTACGTGTCATGCTGAAATGAAAGATGCAAGGTCAAGGAGACTTACCTTGCTTAAAACTGGAACTTGTGTGGGGGACTAGAGTTGCTGGATGCTCTTGAATTCGAAAGGAGAGGGAACAAGTGTGATGTGATCTTGTTGAGTTTTGAGAGTTTTTTGATGTGCTTCTCCCTTTCGTCTGATCCTTCTATGTAAGTGTTCAGTCCTCTTTAGCTTGCAAGCATGAAGCTTATATAATGTAGAAGGGAGGGGACAAGAAGACAATAGTTTAAACTTCCATAAACAAACGTTTTCAAAGCCATGAATGAAGTTTTGTAACTGTGGCAAAAAACATAGGATCTTGTCCTCTTTTAAAATTTAAATGTATGTGGACATTTTGGCTCCTTCGAATGCCTTCAGTTTTCATCCTTCGATTGGGCCTTAAATTGCCTTTTTTCGAATGGACCTCATGTTGCCTTTTTTTGAATGGACCTCATGTTGTATCTTTTTGAATGGACCTCATGTTGTCTCTTTTCGAATGGGCCTCATGTGTCTCTTTTCGACTGAGCCCCTTGTGTAGCCTTCGAATGGGCCTTCTGCATGCTTCTTCGGATGACTCTAATTCAGCCCCTTCAAATGGCCAACAATATGTGTCCTTCGAATGGACTTTTAGAATGCCATAGTGTAGAAATTGGGCTGTCAAAACTTAGCATGAGGAAAGTTCCTGCCTTGTACAGGCATGCATGTAGCAGGTGTTTGCCTTATAGGCATGAAGAAAATTCTTGCCTTGTGCAGGCAGGCATGCAGGCCATTTGTCCCAATGGGGGCCTGTGTGAAAGAAACCAAAGGTGCTAAAAACGAAAGAGGCCCATAGATAGTTCCAAATAAAAGAAGCTAGAGGTTCTTCAAACGAAGGAAGCCAAAAGGAGCTCCCCTTCTTTCTGAATCGAAGGGAGCCATTTCAAAGGAAAACAAAGCTCAATCGAAGACTTGCGGACCAAAGCTTGATCGAAGGGTGTTAAATGCCTAATCGAAGACTAGTGAGTCAAGCTTGTATCAAAGGTTTTTAAGGGCTCATTTGAAACTTGTTGTTATGCCAATCGAAGGGCATTATTTAACTGCCAATCGAAGGACATTGTTGAACTGCCAATTGAAAGGCACTTTGCTAATATTCAAAAATTTCCTCTTTCTTTAACCAAGTGTTTGTAACCACCATGTGAGGGAAAAATATTGGGAAAATATGAGAGGGCAAATTTTGGGGTACAACAGTTGCCCCTATTCAATATTCTTAAACCCGAGGATGTAGATTGGCTTGTATGCCTTTCGTGATCTGAAGGTGGAAGATGATTGAACACTAAAGTTCCCAGAAACTTGCACTCGTCTGAAGTGATACTGTTGGTGAATAATATCGGGAATGGGCTTACATATGCCATTTGGAAGAGATGATAGAAGACTGTCGGAGATAGGCGTAAAGATGTCATCCAAGGAATATGACGGAGAATCGTCAGATATGGGCTTAAAGATGTCGTCTCAAGTAGATGCTGACTTTACAAGAAGTCTCTTTGTGGGTATTCATGTTCCTGCTGTCTGAGGAGGAGTCCGCTGGGGAATGTTTTGGGGGAATAGAGTCTAGGAGCTTAGGTTGTCCATTACTCTACTGGGGAGTTATCTCTTGATTGGAGAGACGAAAGTGAGCTATTATTTGGTCAAGATCCAGGCTTCACAATGACTCACTGAGGATAATATGGCTGACCGTTATCTTGTCATATTCTAGGATTCACAGTGACTTATTGGGGAATATGAAATTAACTGCTATCTGGTCAGTTCCAGACTTCGCAGTAATCGTAGACATTGAACTGTTATCTGGTCGTATCCAGGCTTCGGATTGAATCTGAGGTATACTGTTATCTAGTCGGATCCAGACTTTGGTGTCATAAGTTATACTATCATATGGCCGGGTGTTTACCGTGGAAATTGATAAACAACCGCTGATCTTCCAAAAGGTTACTTATTTGGTGACTCGCGGGATCGATCAGATTGATCCTAAGACATGGTTGATTTTCTAGAGTTTGACTAATCCTAATGGTGATTAATGCCGGTAAAGTAAAGACACTTTAAGTAAATTGCATGAAGAAAAGCTTGATAGAATAAATAAAAGCATTAAATAAAAGGCTTCGACGGAGATGAGTAAATGAAAAGTAATAAAGTGCTTGAATATAAAAGACTTTGATTAATTTAAATGGTGTTTCACACATACATTCTCAACGATTCTTTCGCTCACACTGGGTACTTTAATCTAGATGAGTGACTTGTATAAAATGATGAACACCTCTGAAAACTACGTGAACAACTAGTATTTATACTAAAACAAATCCTAAGTAACCGTTGGGCAGTTACGTCGCTTCGAGATGACGCCACATGGCACGCTCACAACCTTCGACGCTCCTGATCTCGGCACGTTGCACTTGGTAACTGCTGGGAACCGTTTTCCCTCCAAGCATTCAAATCTCAAACCGTTCGACCCTGGACATCAGGTACCTTTGTCGGGAGGTTCCTTCGACGTCGAAGAC